GTCGGAGGGAGGGAAACTCCACCCTCCCATCACGCTAACCCCAACATTTTTTGAACACGTGACCCATGAAGAGGCATGCAGCTAATTGCACACCTGTGTGTTGCTCCTCTCAAAATATTCATAACTCCTCCTACAGCTTATTCAATATGTATATTTAGCCGCCCTGAGGATCTAAGGGAAAAGCGCAGTGTCCTTTTCCTGTAATCTCATTCAAGAATCAACACAGAATACTTCTCTCCACCAACAAGCAAGCAATCAGTTCTGCAGCAGACACCAGCTGGGTGTCCTCCCATTCAAGTCTGACAGCATCTACCTGTAGACAGTGTCTGACCACACAGATCGAGGACTCAGTTCCTACGAGACTGAACCCCACTTCCAATGCCAACTGCAAGCCCCTGGTTATTGTGCCTGTGATTCTGATTGACCTGCTAAACACTGGGGGCTCCCACAGCCCCCTCCTTGGGTTCAATTAATTTGCTAGATCAGCATACAGAACTCAGAGAAACACATTTACTGGTTTATTACAAGGCATATTTTACAGGATACAGATGAACAGCCAGATGAGAAGATGCATAAGGAGCGTTCTGGAAGGGTCCCAAGCACAGTAGCTTTTACCCCCTTGGAATGGAGGTGCGCTACCCTCTAGGAACCTCCAGGTTACTCAGAAGCTCTCTGAACCCTGTCCTCTTGGGTTTTTACGGAGGCTTCATCACATAGGCATGATTTAATCATTAGCCATTGGTGATCAGCTTAACCATCAGCCCCTCTCCCTTCCCAGAGGTCAAGGGTAGGGCTGAGTCCCAACCTTCTAACCCTGCCTTCTTCTTTCTGGTGACCCCTCCTATCCTGAAACTGTCTAGGAGCCACCAGCCACCTCATTAACATACAGAAAAGACATTCATCACTTCGAAGATTCCAAGGATTTAGGGAAATATATGCCAGAAGACTGAATGAAAACCCAATATAATTTCACAATATCATGGATGACTGAAATAAGTAATGAAAGATTAAGCAGGCCAGGCACAGTGGCTCACACCTGTAATCCTTTGGGAGGCTGAGATGGGCAGATTACTTAAGGCCAGGAGTTCGAGACCAGCCTGGTCAACATGGTGAAACCCCATCTTTACTGAAAAAAAAAAAAAAAAAATTAGCCGGTGTGGTGCTGGTGCCTGCAATCCCAGCTACTCGGGAGGCTGAGGCACGAGAATCACTTGAATGCAGGTTGTAGTGAGCTGAGATCATGCCACTGCACTCCAGCCTAGGCAACAGAGCAAGACTCTCAAAAAAAATTTAAAAATTACGCAGCCAAATGACATGGAAAGAAATAAATTACTGTATTAGTTATATAAATATCAAACGAAATGTTGATAGGGATTGCCTTTGCACAGCAGTTAATATTAAAGATGAAATTTTGTGGGCTTTTTTAAACATATTTTTGTATGGAACACTTCACAAATTTGTGCGTCATCCTTGTGCAGGGGCCATACTAATCTTCTCTGTATCATTCCAGTTTTAGTATATATGCTGCCAAAGCGAGCACTATTCTTCTTAATTTCAAAATTCTCTTCAATACATATATGCTTGCTTATAAACAGAAAAAGAAAAATGAGATGCTCAACATGTTAATCAAACAAGTTACCAACCCGTCCGTGTACAAATCCTGGCCTAGGTTTGCTATTTCTCTCAAAGCTTTCACTTGGGCATGGGGAAATTTAACTCAGACTAACGTAAGCCAAAAAAAGAAAAAAAGAAACAAAAAGGACTTTATTAGTTCCATAGCCACCAGCCCAGGATATGATCGATGCCCTCGGCCCTGGCCCCTGCAGTGCTGGTCCTTCCCCATCTGGCTCCCTCCTCAGCCATGTGCTCTGTGCAGGCAAGAGGGACGGAATGCTACTGGACAAGCACCCAAAAGAGGGTACTTGGATCTCTCTCAAGAAAGAATTCAAGGCAAATCCATAAAGGGAAAGCAAGTTTACTAGGAAAGTAAAGGAATAAAGAATGGCTACTCCACGGGCAGAGCAGCCCTGAGGGACGCTGGCTGCCCATTTTTATGGTTATTTCTTGATTATATGCTAAACAAGCGGTGGATTATTCATGAGATTTCTGGGAAAGGGGTGGGCGATTCCCAGAACTAAGGGTTCCACCCTTTTTTAGAACATATAGGGTAACTTTCAGACAGCAACATCTGAAAGTTGCATCTGTAAACTCTCATGGTGCTGGTGGGAGTGTCTTTTAGCATGTTAACGCATTATAATTAGCATATAATGAGCTGTAAGGATGACCAGAGGTCACTCTCATGCCATCTTGGTTTTGGTGGGTTTCCCAGCTTCTTTATTTACTTCTTTATTTTATTATTTTTTTTGAGACGATGTCTTGCTCTGTTGCCCAGGTCTCGGCTCACTGCAGCCTCCACCTCCCGGGTTCTCCTGCCTCAGCCTCCCGAGTAGCTGGGACCACAGGCGTCTGTCACCACACCTGGCTAATATTTGTATTTAGAGACGGGGTTCACTATTTTGGCTAGGGTGGTCTCGAACTCCTGGCCTCAAGTGATCCACCTGCCTCAGCCTCCCAAAGTGCTGGGATTACAGGCATGAGCCCCTGCGCCTGGCCCCGGCTTCTTTCAGTCTGTTTTATCAGCAAGCTCTTTGGGACCTGCATCTTGTGCCGATCTGCTATCTCATCCTGTGACTAAGAATGCCTAACCTCCTGGGAATGCGGCCCCGCAGGCCTCAGCCTCATTTTACCCAGCCCCCATTCAAGATGGAGTTGCTCTGGTTCAAATGCCTCTGACAGGCAGGTGTCCCTAAACTTCGACACCCCCTTGAGGCAGACCTTTACAGAGGCCCTGTGGCTGGCAAGGAAGCCAGGTTCCCAGCCCCAGCAGAGTCGTCTACACTATCATTCTGCTGTGGACTTTGTCTACACTGATGGAAGAACTCTCCAAAGGACTCAGAGTGGAAATGGGGGCGGGGGAGGAATAACGGTGATTTTTTTTTCTGCAGGTTTTCCTGTATTTTCTGCAATGAGCATGTATTATTTTTCCATGATTACTAGCACAGTTACTGAATGGTGACCATGTATTCGACACTATGCTACATGCTTTACAGACTCAGAAACCTGCTCTCAGCATCCCGGGGGCATCAACTCCTGCCATCTTCATTCTGCAGCTGAGGACAGTGAGGCACAGAGGAGAGGGGTCCAGAGTCCAGCCGCGGTGACCCGCTTCCAAAAAGCCTCACTCTTTAATGAGTTTTGCCTCAATCAGAAGAAAAGCAAAGCTGTTTCCATTCCCCCAAAGAATAAAGACCCCCAAGTCCTCAAGATAACTTTCCCTTCCCTTCCCCTGGTACAAAGAAGGCTCCCAACCTCATGGTGACATCCTCGCCGGTGTTTTCCTCCCAGGACTGGCCTCAGTGCCCCTGCTGGAGCCGGCGGTGGGCACGTGCGGAAGCTGATTTGCCTGACACCACGATGCAGGTGAAACCCCTGGAAGCGTGGCCGCCCCTGCTGCTCGCGTGAAAGCGGCCCAGGGCGCGCTCTGCCCCTCAGGCATCGTGGTTCCTCTCCTCCACACAGCTGTCCGAGGTGTCGCTGTTTGGTTTAAAGTCACCGAGGCCTATCCCCTGGCTTCTCACGCAGCAGGCAGCACAAAGATCCCGGCTGCAGACTCCAGGCAGCCATGACGGCGGTGGAGAAAGGACAGGGGCGAAGGTGAAGGCTCCCAGCTGGGGTCCCCGTCAGCTCCCCCGAACCAGCCCTCACCGTTTCAAACGCTGCGCTGCTCTGCGGAAGCCCCAGCCAGAGCCGGGCCGGCCCATGCCCCTACGCACGGCTCAGGAGAAAGGCCGAGTTCCGCACCTTCTCCGAGGATCTGGGCGCAGCTTCCAGACCGTCACCATCACCCGCTCAGCGGCCTCAGCAGAGCCAGCTCTGGGGCCTCAGCCTTCCCTGTCCCTCCTGCTCGCTCCCCGCCCAGCTCCAACGTCCCCCCTGGAAAATCTCTATGCCCTCCCCACGCACACGCACGGGTGCCTCCGCGGGGCTCCAGTGCTGGTCCACACGCTTCCGCTACGCCCCGGCGTGGGGGTTCGCCAAGCACACAAAGCCACCTCTGCCCCCGCCCCAGGTTAGCGCTCCGGCTGCCGTGTCTCCCCGCTCCCCCGGGTTAGCGCTCCGGCTGCCATGTCTCCCCGCTCCCCCGGGTTAGCGCTCCAGCTGCCACGTCTCCCCCTCCCAGGTTAGCGCTCCGGCTGCCACGGCTCCCCTCACCAGGTTAGCGCTCCGGCTGCCGTGTCTCCCCGCTCCCCCGGGTTAGCGCTCCAGCTGCCACGTCTCCCCCCACCAGGTTAGCGCTCCGGCTGCCACGTCTCCCCCCCAGGTTAGCGCTCCAGCTGCCACGTCTCCCCCTCCCAGGTTAGCGCTCCAGCTGCCACGTCTCTCCCCGCAGGTTAGCGCTCTGGCTGCCACGTCTTCCCCCACCAGGTTAGCGCTCCGGCTGCCACGGCTCCACCCACCAGGTTAGCGCTCCGGCTGCCACGTCTTCCCCCACCAGGTTAGCGCTCCAGCTGCCACGTCTCCCCCCACCAGGTTAGCGCTCCGGCTGCCACGTCTCCCCCTCCCAAGTTAGCGCTCCGGCTGCCACGTCTCCCCCCGACCCCAGGTTAGCGCTCCGGCTGCCACGTCTCCCGCCCCTCCTGGGTTAACACTCTGGCTGCCGCATCTCCCCCCCAGTTAGCACTCGGCTGCCACGTCTCCCCCGCGGGTTAGCACTCGGCTGCCACGTCTCCCCCCAGTTAGCACTCGGCTGCCACGTCTCCCCCGCGGGTTAGCACTCCAGCTGAAGAGGAGAGTCACCAGGCACTGCTGTGAGTTATCAACTTGTGCAGTTTCAGCACCCTTAACCTCCACGGGAAGCTCCCAGATTCCTAAGCGCCACTAAAGCCCAGGAGGGCTCATGCCTGACACAGCACGAGCCTCTCGGGGGCCCTGACGTGGACTCCCACGGTGGAGGCTGTCACCGCATGCCAGGTGCACGCTGGGGCCCTGGCCGCCAGGCCCTGACTGCAGGGTCATGGGAGCCGCCCCTTTCAAGGGCAGATAGATAGGCTTGGAGAAAATAAAAACTGGCCACAAACACACAAACCTCAGGAATCTCAATGAGGGGCACAAGGCAACGGGATAGCCATCGGAAGATGCAGGAAATGCCAACGGGCTCCGGCTGTCTGACACCCAGGCCCTGGGGAAAGGGAGGCCCGGCTGCCCGTCTCTTCCTGGACCACCACATCCCTGGCTGAGTATTCAGACCAAGTCTGGGGGTGGCACAGGGCAGTGCAGGGCTGGTGGACTCGCCATCCATTCCCAAGCCCCAGCTGGCCTCTCCCTGGGTGCAGGGAAAGCTCACACCCCAGCACGCAAGGCGCCCACACCTGGGCGTGTCTGAGGCCTCAGGGGGTACACTTGCGGCTTTTTCTTCAATCCAGCTTTACTGAAAACACAACTCAGGTATTAGTGTGGAAAGATCTGCACACTCCCAAGGCACGTTTTATTTAGATGTATTTATTACAATTCCAGTCAGGAGGAGACGCCCACACCTGCTCCCTCCTGGCGCCAGGGTCTGCTCTGCGGTCTGCAGGGGGATGCTCAGCATCGCTTGGGTTCCACTTCCTTCTCACTAGGGACCATGGTCAGGCAGCCCTGCGACACACAGCGCTGGCCTCAGTCACACGGCTGATGCGAAGGTTTCACTTTCCTTAAGTGTAGACAATCATTTACAAACTTTTGGGGGGGTGCTAATTTTTTTTATTTTTTTATTTTTTGAGACACAGTCTCGCTCTGTCGCCCAGGCTGGAGTGCAATGGCACAATTTCAGATCACTACAACCTCCACCTCCTGGGTTCAAGCAATTCTCCTGCCTCAGACTCCCAAGTAGCTGGGATTACAGGAACCTGCCACCACGCCTGGCTACTTTTGTATTTTTAGTAGAGATGGGGTTTCGTCATGTGGGCCAAGTTAGTCTTGAACTCCTGACCTCAGGTGATCCACCCTCCTCTGCCTCCCAAAGTGCTGGGATTACAGGTGTGAGCCACCGCACCCAGCCTATTTTTCATACTGAAAGAAAGATGGATTAGAATGTTAGTGGCCGAGCTCTGAATAAACCCCCTGGGAACACACAGGGTACAAAGTAGGATGGTCCACAAATCCAAGGAGAGATACTGCATGGAAAAAAGGCTTGTCTACATTTAATGCTACTACAAAAGGTCTCTCCAAAGGATTCCATTTTTCTTTCTTTCTTTTCTTTTTTTTTTTTGAGATAGAGTCTTGTGCTGTTGCCCAGGATGGAGAACAGTGGCACGACCTCGGCTCACTGCACCCTCCACCTCCTAGGTTCACGCGATTCTTCTGCCTCAGGCTCCCAAGTAGCTGGGACCACAGGCGTGCACCACCACACCTGGCTAATTTTTGTATTTTTAGTAGAAATGGGGTTTCGCCATGTTGGCCAGGCTGGTCTCAAACTCCTGACCTCAGGTGATCCACCTGCCTCAGCCTCCCAAAGTGCTGGGATTACAGGCGTGAGTCACCGCACCCGGCCAGGATGCCATTTCAAAAAGGAATCCGCTTTCCCCATGCGGCGGGCAAAGGAGGTGAGGGTCTAGGAGCCAGAGCAGGGAGAGATGCACGCGTGGCCACCTGATGAAGGTTCCACAGGACGCCGATTTCTGAGCCCAGTGTAAAATATTTTGTTATCGACACGGGAGCCTGTTTGTGAACGTTGGAAGGCAATCCTGTTTTGGATCAGAACAATGCAATCTCGGCTCACTGCAACCTCCGCCTCCCAGGTTCTCTGCCTCAGCATCCTGACTAGCTGGGACTACAGGTGCCTGCCACCATGCCTGGCTAATTTTTGTATTTTTAGTAGAGTTGGGGTTTCACTTTGTTGGCCAGGCTGGTCTCGAACTCCTGACCTCATGATCCACCCACTTCAGCCTCCCAAAGTGCTGGGATTACCGGCGTGAGTCACTGCGCCCAGCCGTCTTATATAATTTTATCTCCCAAATACACAACAGCAACAAACCTCATTGCGAGGATGTTCTCACTGTTCTGGCTGGCCTCTACCTAGCACCACGTGGCTCTCAAACTGTATAAAACTGCTTGTAGGAGCCATTGCAAACAGAAAAAGTGTGATGTTTTCACTTTGGTAGTCAGTATGTTTTTCTTTTCACATACACATACATATGTTAGTTTTTAAGTGTTTTTACCCCTCTTCTGAAGAGTCTATAGAAGAAGCCTCTGTTTGGTCTGGAAACCGGGGTATGGATGTTCTTGTCTAGATTTAACGGCAAAGCTTTCTCCCTTTCACTTTTGTTGATGTCTTTGAAACACCCAGATTCGATCATCTGCATGCACAGAAGAGCAGGACAGAGAAGTCTCAGAGAAGCTTCCAGGTCAGTGGGTGTCTCCCAGCGCCAGCAACTCCTGCCCAGCCCCGTGCGGAGCAGCTCCTACCCAGTCCCGTGTGGGGCACCTCAGAGCTCCCGCACCCACTGTGGGGCCCCTTTCCTGGGTTCCTCCTTCCCTGCTTCCTGACCTCTTCTTGGATAAGTAACATGGTCTCCTCTCCCCTTGTCTCTCAGTGTACACCCCAAAGTGGGGAACTACCATGGGAACCCTGGCTGCCAGTCAGCCCTGCTTAGGGAGGGGGGCTCAGGCGTGGCAGGCAAGCGCCCATCAGACCCAAAATAGCTACCTCCTGTCCACTTCCTGTCACTGGGACCACGGACATACCGTGCTTCTGGACTGCTGATATGGTCCTTGGCTTGCCCATGGTCTAGTCCTGTGGTCAAAAGTCTTATACAATCTTTTTTTTTTTTTTCTTTTTTTGAGACGAAGTCTCGTTCTGTCACCCAAGGTGGAGTGCAGTGGCGCAATCTCGGCTCACTGCAACCTCTGCCTCCCAGGTTCAAGCGATTCTCCTGCCTCAGCATCCTGACCAGCTGGGACTATAGGCGCCTGCCACTATGACCGGCTAATTTTTGTGTTTTTAGTAGAGTCGGGGTTTCACTTTGTTGGACAGGCTGGTCTCGATCTCCTGACCTCGTGATCTGCCCACTTCAGCCTCCCAAAGTGCTAGGATTACAGGCGTGAGCCACCACGCCCAGCTGTCTTGTATAATTTTATCTCCCAAATACACACACACACACACACACACACACCCTTTTCCTGGGTCATTGCTGGAACTAACGTAAAGCTGCTGTGCTAGAAGGGCAGTACCTCATTCTGCCAGGGGATGGAGACACACCCTGTAGCAAACTGAGCGTAGAAGTCTTCATCTGCGGTGTCCAGGTAGATCCCTTTCACTGCCGAGAACTGCTCGATATCCAGGACATCCTTACAGTAAACGGCCTGAGGCTGTACAGCAAGAACAGAGGCAGCCTCTGAGGTCACTACAGCAATTCTCAGCTCCCTCAGTTCCCAGGAACGAAACGCCCAGCAAACTGATGCATAAACACTGCCATTCTTCCTCTCTCCATTTCTTTGCCAGGCCCCTCCCTCACTTGAGGCATTTTCTAAATCAGAGAATGTGTCCTCTGAAGAGGTGGTTCACCAGCTTTTAGTGTCACCAATCTTGTGGGTACTGTGTCAGCTGCTCTGGCTCTCTCCCTCTCTCTCTCTTTCTCACACACACACACACACACACACACACACACACACACACACCCCTTCTGAGGGCCATGCCCTTCTCTTTTCTGTAGTGGAAAATGGATTGCAAACAAAGGCCAGGGATGCAGGGCAAATATTAGAAGATGCAGCACAGAACCAGAGAAGTGTAAGCAGGGATAGAGGCCACCAGCAGTGGGATCCCTTAGTGACAATTCTCGCACCTGCCTCCAACTCTAGGTGCGCTCCCTGCAAAGCGCCTGGAGAAAACCTGAGGAACAGCTGCAGCTCCCACTTCCCGCCCTCCTCCGGGTCCATCGAGTGGTCTCCAAGGCTGCAAGAGGCTCAGCTCCCTGGGTCGGCAGGTCCCTCCTCTGGGACAGGAGCCCAGGCCTGCAGCTCCTATCCCAGCACTGCTGTCCTCAGAGGCAAAGGGTCAGGCAGGCAGAAGGGAGTGCCAAGGCCCGGGTCTCCACCTGCCGCCAGTACCGTTGTTTGCATTTTCAGGGCAAAGGAACAAAAAGCACGGAAGTCGGCAGCTGTGGGGCCCTCATCTGCTCATGCTGGAGGCACCCGCAGTTCTGAGAACACTTTTCACCCAGGACTTGTGCACTACAGTAAAGCAGTGACGCTCCAAAGGCGCGCTGACGGTCAGCACTGCTGTTAGAGCAGCTGCTCTTCACTCATTCATCCCCTCGGGGTGGAGAGGTGGAAGGACACTGGCAGGCCCTGCCCCTAGGGGACAGTCCAGAGGAAGGTGTCCCAACAGCACGCTCACAAGGAGGTACAGTGACCACTTCAGGGTCCTCAGTATGGGGCCAGGCCACAGTCCCAGGACCTCATGAGAAGCGGAGTGGGGATACGCGTTCCAGACAAAGGAAGCAGGGGCGGCTCACAGCCGTGGGAAACACAGGAACAAGAGACAAAGCCAGTCCTGAGACCAGAAAGGGGACACGGGTGGCCAGGCATGGTGGCTCATGCCTGTAATCCCAGCATTTTGGGAGGTCAAGGCAGGGGGATTGGTTGGGGCCAGGAGTTCAAAAGTAGCCTGGGCAACATAGGGAGACCCCCGTCTCTAGGAAAAAATTAAAAACGAGCTGGGTGTCGTGTGCCTGTGATCTCAGCTACTTAGGGGGCTCCACCAGCACTGAGGCTGAAAGTGACACCAGGCAGGGAGCCAGAGCACCGCTGAGGCCTGTGAGGGGCCCAGTGAGTGGCCAAAGGACACTGGGGTGACAGAAGAACCACCAGGTAGGATAGGCACCATGAGCAAAAGCCGCATGCTGGCTGTGCCTGGTGATTCTGTGTCTGTTGTAATACAAAACAAAAAAACAAAAAACTGTTGCAGCTAGACACATCTCAGCACTCTGGGAGGCCAAGGTGGAGGACCGCTTGAGGCCAGGGGTGCAAGACCAGCCTGGGCAACACAGTGAGATCCCCCATTGCTATTTTTAAAAAAAGAAAGAGAGAACCCGTGCAGTGTGGATCACTGTTCCCAGGGCCCTGCTCGTCCTGGCAATGCACTTACATCAGGACAGAAAGGGGGCTCCAACATGTTTGCCTCCAGCCTCCTGAAGTTGATGTTCTTGAACACGGGGTGCTGCTTCACCCCAGCCGCTCCCTCGCCCCTGCAGCCCAGCCGCTTGCTTGGATTCTTGGTGAGTAACTGCAAGAGGCAGAAATAGAATCCACTTAAGCCTCTGGATAAAAATGAAAACTCAGAACTCCCCTCCATAATAATAACCAAAGGACTCGGGAGGGCAGAAAGCAGGTGCATCTAACAAATAATTTCAAAGCATCAGCCAAACCTCAGGAACTCAGACTTTACTCATTAAATTATGTGATGCTTCACAGAGGAAAGGGGCTAAGGTTTTGCCTTTGAGCTATCAATAAATAAGGGGTTGGCTATGTTATTCTTTAAGCTTAAAAAATTAATCATAAAAATTTGGGGATTTTTAGAGGAAACAGAAACTGTTGTGAATTTCAGAAATACCACTAAGGACCTCAGATGAGGCAAACATTGAGCAAACCGAGTTCTAAAAATATATTCTGAATACTTTGGTATTCTAGTGTATTCTTAAAATGACCAGAAAGTATCTCTTTAGAAAGTATTCCTTACATACACGTTTACAATCATCACAAAGTCAAATAAGCCTTCCTCCACAATTCTTATCAATCAGAAAAAGCAGGGCTGTGCTCAGAAGCAACACATGAAAGACCTGAACCCCTGAAATGTGACCTAGACCCAGGCTTGGGAAACCACAGTCCAGCCACCACAGGCACCAGCTGCCTGGTTTTGTAAACAAGGCTTTATCGGCACCAGCCTTTTGCACTGTATTGGCAGAGCTGAATAGCTGTAATAGAGACCTGCAAAGTCTAAACGCTATTTACCATCTGGCCTTACAGAAAAGTATGCTGATCCCTGGCCAACTCAATGTCCCAAAGACCAGAAAGCATTCTGGTCTGTGCTTCTATCTCCCACCTCTCAGCTCCTTGCTGGGCTGTGCCTGCTCCAGGGCTGTGTCTACAAAGCTCTTTGGCTCCCTGACTCCTGCTCAATTCTTGAGGTTTTAGCTTTCTAGCCCTCATCCCTGCACTAAATTAGGCTCCCCAACTTTTTTTGCTACAGCCTGAGGGCATCCTCCACCTCTCCTTGATGACAAATATTTCATGCTGAGAATGAGTCATTTGAATGTACCGTTATTGCCAGGCTGTCCTGCTAGACTCAAAGCTTCCTGAAGCTGGGGCTGTGTGACTCTTGCCCACTGTGATTCCCCAGCATCTAGCCAGAGCAGGCGCTCAGTAACAGTTGCTCAGTGCATTTGTTCTTTGCATGCTTTGTTGATTTAAAAGAGATCTGGCCGGGCGCGGTGGCTCAAGCCTGTAATCCCAGCACTTTGGGAGGCCGAGGCGGGTGGATCATGAGGTCAGGAGATCAAGACCATCCTGGCCAACATGGTGAAACCCCAAGTCTACTAAAAATACAAAAATTAGCCAGGCGTGGTGGCACGTGCCTGTAGTCCCAGCAACTCGAGAGGCTGAGGCAGGAGAATCCCTTGAACCCGGGAGGCGGATGTTGCAGTGAGCTGAGGTCGCACCACTGCACTCCAACCTGGGCCAGATCTGTTTCTTGAGAATTCGTCTCAAAGAAACAACAATAAATACATAAATAAAACAGATCTGAAAATTAACTGTAATGCAAACACCATTTCTGCATCTCAGGGACTCCACAGCCCCATGATTTGAGCTTGCTGCCAGCATACTCCACTCCCATTGAGGGCCACGATGGTCTGAATGTGTGTGTCCGCCACAAATCTGTAAGCTGAAACTGAATCCCCAATGCAGCAGTATTGACAGGTGGGACCTTTTGGTGGTGGTGAGGTCCTGAGGGCTCTGCCCTCTTGAATGGGATTCGTGCCATTAGCAAAGGGGCCCCAGGGAGGGGGTTTGTCCTCTGCCCTGTGAGGGCGCAGTCAGAAGACTCCGTCTTTCTTTCTTTTTCTTTCTTCTTTTAAATATAGACGGTGTCTCACTGTGTTACCAGGCTGGTCTCGAGCTCCCTGCCTCAAGTGATCCTCCCACCTCAGCCTCCCAAAGTGCTAAGATTACAGGTATGAGCCAGCATGTCCAGCCAAGGCTCCATCTTTGAAGCAAAGAGCAGTCCTCACCAACACCCAATCTGCAGGCATCTTGGTCTAGGACTTCCAGCCTCCTGCCTGAGAAAATAAACTCCTGCTGTCGATAAATTATTCAGTCTAAGGGATTCTGTCATAGCAGCCCGAAGGGACTAAGACAGATGGCCTGACCAGGCAGCACAGAGCAGAGGAGAGGGGCTTGGTCCAAAAGCTGGGCTCAGGTCCAGCTGCCAGTAATTGCTATGTGACGTCATTAACCCATATAACTCATTCTTTTTTTTTTTTTTTTTTTTTTTGGACAGAGTCTCACTCTGTCGCCCAGGCTGGAGTGCAGTGGCACGATCTCAGCTCACTGCAAGCTCCGCCTCCTGGGTTCAAGGGATTCTCCTGCCTCAGCCTCCCGTGTAGCTGGGACTACAGGTGCCCACCACTGTGCCCGGCTAATTTTTTTTTTTTTTTTTTGTATTTTTAGTAGAGATGGGGTTTCACCATGTTAGCCAGGATGGTCTCTATCTCCTGACCTTGTGATCCGCCCACCTCGGCCTCCCAAAGTGCTGGGATTACAGGCGTGAGCCACCGCACCCGGCCCATTCTGCTTTTTCACTGCAGTCATTTCTGTTTGTTTTAGGCCTAACATTAAACTGTGAGCTCTTAAGGGCAGATTCCATTTCTAGTACATATTTATCCATTCTTGCAGCCCTGTCAGTGTCGTGAGAAGACTCCATTATTTAATAGTCAGCTCTAAGCAGAGTGAGCTAGCCGGGAGAACTCCAGGGTGACCCCTGGCTCCGGGACGAGCCTGTAGCGCCCATGGCTTCATATATGGAAACACAGGAAAAGGACATCAGAATAATTCCTCTCCAGCCACTGCCAGCCCACGTCAGTTACCCAGGCATGGCTGCTAGGAATGCCCTCACCCAGGCAGGGGCCTATGCCTGGCTGCTTGGTCCTGTGGCCTTCTCTTCTCCAGTGACCTTATCCTCCATCCCTGCAGTGACCCCCAGCCACTCTCTCCCGGTCACACTCCAGACTCTTGGCCAGCAAGAGCTCCCTCCGTCAGCTCCACTCCAAGCAGCTTCCTCTCTGAGCATCCCTGTAATCTTTCTAACTCTGGCCTGGAGGGGCCTGGACTCCCAACTTGGACTGCGCTTGGCCCATCCTCTGTTGAACCTGCTGTTCCCTGTGCCCCTTTCCTCGTCCACTGGAGCCAGCATCGAGCCCATGGTCTGTCTCTAGTCACTCCTCCGCATGCAGCCCAGCTCCCCGGCCTCTCTCTAGCTGCTGGACCAAACCAGAGCTGGGCGAGTGCAGCTCCCTGCTGGCTCTGAGCCTGCGCCATCCATTTGTGGCAGGAGCCCAGCACACAACCACGGCCACTCCCCTCCCTTCAGGTCCACATGGCTCTTGATGCTGTTGAGGAAAACCCTGCTTTCTAGGGCTTCAAGCCTCCCCTCTCCTCACACCCGCCTCCCACCTTTGCTCCCCACTGGGCTGACCATCTGAGAAAAAGCAGCTCCGTTAAGAGACCATTCACAGCCCTGCTCACGTCTCCCCAGCTGTGCTGCGCTGGCCACAGACTCTGCCTCCTCTCCGGTCGCTGGAGGAACTGTCCACACACTCCCTGTGCGCGGGCTGCTGTCCTCCCCATCGCAAGGACTTGGCTCTAGTGAGTATCCCCTTCCCTCCAGCCCACCTTGGGGTCAGCCTGAAGTCTTCTCCACCACCTGCCTTCAGGATCCATCCTGAATCTGACAGTGGTCATCTGCCATCACTTCTCACACCTGCTCTGCCACCACTGAGGTCTGCGTCACCTTTACTCTCACCTGAATAGCTGCAAAGCCCCCAATGGCCTTCCTCCTTCCTGTCCATTCATTTTCTCCCAGCGGCCGGGAAGCCTGGTCCCATCACATCACTCTTCACAGAGCCCTGCGATGGCTTCATGGCCATCAGAGGAAGCAACACTTAAAGCTTGACAATGATGACAATGACAAGTGACAGGTGATTCTGCATGGCCTGGGCCTGCCGCTCTCTGTCCTGTCCCTCTCTAACCCCCTCCCGCTCTTGCCAGCGGCCTGCTCTGCCCAGCAGGCCGACTCCCTTTCTCCCCCAGAGCCTGCCGCCCCTCCAGGCAGTTCCCTGTCCTCCAGAGTGCGGGTCCTCCCCACAGCCCACATGTCTATGCATTTGTTCTGTTTCCTGTCAGTTCTCGCTGGGAGGGCGGGGACTTCTGTTTTACTTGCTGCTGTTTTCCCCAATGCCTAGGACAGTGCCTGGAGCGTACAAGATGCTCAATAAATCCTCGTTGAATGAAAATAAATGAAAAAAAACATGTGCTCAAAAAATACTGGTTTGAAATAAGCAACAGAGTTTCCCTCACTGATTGAGAGTCTGGGCAGTGAGGGGTGGTAACACAGTCCAGTCCCAGAGGCAGATGGACCCTGACAGCCCCTTGCTCATTCTGGGACCAGGGGCCGGGTCTCCACTGCTTAGGGCTCGTCTCCTTCCTGTGACTCGCAGGTGCCACTGTCAGCCTCAGAGGCCCTTAGCACAATTAAGGGAATTGTCCGTCTAGCACCAGGCCCAGAGCCAGGTACACAGCAGGCCCTCAGGTCAGAGTGTCTCTGGGACTACAATCACTGGCAGGTGGCTAAACCCTTACCATCTCAAATTACATGAAAGATTGGTTTTATGTCTAACTTCATATAAAATTGATCAATGAAACAAGGCTCAGCTGTTTTCTGAAAGCTGAATTAATAGCCTTGGTACCACTCTTCCCTTTCAATAGCATCGTTTGAGAAATCAAACCACAAATTTTACTCTGTTTTGCTCTAATTGAAACCCAATTAAGTCATTTCCAGATCATGTCTGGAAACTTTTTTCGCTGGCCCTTTTTGTCTGATGAAATCCCAGTGGCAGGAGCATGGGGAAGGAGGCAGGCAGACGTGAGCCTCCTGAGCACGCATGTCCTGCCTGCTGGGCCAGGAGACAGGTGGACGTGAGCCTCCTGAGCACGCATGTCCTGCCTGCTGGGCCAGGAGACAGTTGACGTGAGCCTCCTGAGCACGCGTGTCCTGCCTGCTGGGCCAGGAGACAGTTGACGTGAGCCTCCTGAGCACGCATGTCCTGCCTGCTGGGCCAGGAGACAGGTGGACGTGAGCCTCCTGAGCACACATGTCCTCCCTGCTGGGCCGTGGGGGCGGGGGCAGGGGCAGGGCCTGGGAGGTGGGTGGCCAGGGTTTGCTGAAGATGACAGACCAACACCTGTTGCTATAGCTGCCAGTGAAAACAACTAGAATGAGAAGTGCCATTTCCCAGCCTCTACAGAGCCTGACTTACCATCCTGCAGATAGATTTGGCATCCTCTGAAAACTTCTCGGAATACTCCTCAGTATCATTCTTGATTCTTTGATCGATCTCCTCCCGTTTGACTTTTTCTTTGTATTTTTTGAATGGAGAATGTCCCTGAATCATTTCATAGATCAGACAGCCAAGTCCCCACCAATCGGGACTAAATGTATACTTTTCATTATTGACAACTTCAGGTGCTACATAACAAATACAGGAAATGGAAATTAAGTTAAATTTTGATTTTAAATTTTCTTATATTTTCCAATAATACAGTATACATTCAACGTGTGTGACAACATGGATGAACCTTTAAAAACATTATGTTAAGGCTGTGCCCGGTGGCTCACACCTATAATCCCAGCATTTTGGGAGGTCGAGGCAGGCAGGTCACCTGAGGTCAGGAGTTCGAGACCAGCCTAGACAACATGGTAAAACCCGTCTCTACTAAAAATACAAAAATTAGCCGGGTGTGGCAGCAGGCACCTGTAGTCCCAGATACTCAGGAAGCTGAGGCAGGAGAATCGCTTGTGCCTGGGAGGTGGACATTGCAGTGAGCCCAGATCATGCCACTGCACTTTAGCTTAGGCGACAGAGTGAGACTCCGTCTCAAAATAAAAAAAAAAAAGTTCTGAAATTAGATGGTGGTCATGGTTGCATGGCTCTGTGAAAATACTAAAATCTGTTGTATTACACACTTCAAACTGATGGACTTTATGACATATGAATTATATCCCAATAAAACTAATATTTTTAAAGATTTGTATGATTCATCCAGGATGAGCTGAATTGCCACAGAGTCACATTCACAAGGGAAATGGTGGTCCAGGGAAGCCTCCACCTCCTGAAGGGGCTCCCTCCAGACACACAGAGCCATGCCCACAGCGCCCCAAGTGTCATGTCTTGCCATCTATCCCAGGTCAGTGAAAAATCCCAGAAGACGCAGGAGCAGAAAGCCACAAGACCCTGGGGTCTTCCTGCAGGACTCTGCGAGACCCTCAGAGGCCACCCCGGGGGTTGGCTGGCACTGCCCCTGGATCTTTGGAATAACCAGAGTGGGGTGATTTCCTGAGGCTCTGAGAGGCCGTCGTGCACAGGGGAGGACATTGGCAGAGTGAGGAGACCTGCGGTGTCATCCCGATTCTGCCCTCACTTTGCTGAGTGACCTCAGGACTCACAACCTCTCGGGCCTCCCCCCTCATCTGTAAGAAGGTGAGGGCAGCCTACAGGATCCCCAGCAGCCTCAACACTCTGACAGGTGAGAGATTCAAAACACCACTGTGGCATCTACTAGTGCCCAAAGCGAGGCCCTGGTCCCCTCAGGGTGGCTTTCTCTGTGTTCTGAGGCACTCGGGCACCCGGAGAGAAAGCACAAGGATGCTGAAAGCCTCTCACGAACCCATGTAGCCGACTGTTCCAACTCTTCCTCGAGCCATCTGCCCTTCGGGGATCTCCAGGGCCAAACCGAGGTCTGAAATCCGGATGTGTCCTGTGTGTTCAAATATGTTATTACACAGGTCACAGGGGCAGTAGTGATACTTTAACAACAATTAAAACGGGAAAAAAGGCCCCTCAGAAACCATGGATGGAAATAATAGTATTTCATACTCTGGAACAGTAAATATAAAATGATATTTAACCTTTTTCATGTTTAGTAAAATTCCATACAGTGCATTCAGTTTCACTAGTAGCAGGAAAATTTGATTTTTGCCTGGCTATTGATCAGGAAGCTCTTCAATCATAGATAAACCCTTGACAAGACAGAAGCACTGGATTTATTATTTTATGTCATACAGCTTCCAGATATATCAATAAAAATATAATGAATATTATATCAACTATACAAGAGTAAATAAACACTTTGTCAGAGTACCAGTACTATATACAGGGACAGCTATGCATGAATGATACGGAGTTTTTCTCTTGAGAACAAATGGTAATAGAGTCGGGGAAATAACAAACAAAATTAAGGTACTTAGGGAACTATATTACGTGTTAATGCCTTGTATATAGGAGGATTTAAATATTTGTTGAATTCCTATGGAACTAACAAATTAGGCCAGACATGGTGGCTCACATCTGTAATTCCAGCACTTTGGGAGGCCAAGGTGGGAGGATTACTTGGGTCCCAGATTTTGAGACCAGCCTGGGAAACATGACAAGATCCTGTCTCTACAAAAAAAAGATGTTTTTAAAAATGAGCTGGGTGTGATGGCACATGGCTATGGTCCCATCTACTCTGGAGGCTGAGGCAGGAGGATCGCTTGAGTCCGGAAGGGTGAGGCTGTGGTGAGTCATGATCACACTACTGCAGGGCAAGAGTGAGAACCTGTCTCAAAAAAACTGTAACGAAAGTAAGAAATTATCGAAAACATTCTGCTGAGTGTGTAGAAAAATAAGCCAGCCCTGGAAGCGGACACTATCTTCACTTATCCTCAGCTTCTAATATAGTACCCAGGCCTAGAGTAGGTGCTCAATAAATATTTATTGGCAAAATGAATGAACAACCAATAAATGTTTGCTAAAAACTAAAAATATGCAACATGCCCTCCAAGGCACTGTAGTCATTTTAAAACAGTCTACATGATGCTTTAGAGAGGAAAGCCGGCCTCTGACTCGGCTGCATACACATAATACACCACCCCCTGCCCTTGCTGCGTGCCCACCCTGGGAGGTGGGAGAGTACAGGGATGAGGAGCACAGATTCTGTAGCCAGATGGAGTGGGTCTGAGTCCTGGCTCTGCCATTTACTATCACGTCTCAGTTTCCTCCCCTCGTACAGATGCATTCTTTCAATAATCCAGACTTCATTTTCTTTTTTTTTTTTTTTGTAGAGACAGGGTTTGGTCATGTTGCCCAGGCTGGTGTTGAACTCCTGGGCTCAAGTGATCCTCCCACCCCGGCCTCCCAAAGTGCTGGGATTACAGGCATGTGACACTGTGCCTAGCCAGCTTTCATGTATTTTTTATTTAAGTAGAGTGCTAGCATGTTGTGACTTATTTTTTTTTTTTTGGCATCATTGACTTATTTTTCTTATAAAAATGGATTTTTAAACTGAGAAATGCAACTTAAAACTACATTGAAATACCAATTCCCGGCTAACAAACTGACAAAAGCTCCAAAGTTCGAGAACTCGGTCTGCTGGCGAGGCTGTGGGGAAACAGGTGCTCTTGGGCACTGCTGGTGGGAATGCAGACGGGACAACACCCTGGAGGGGAATCTAGCAATATCTGGCAAATTGCATATGAATTCACCCACTTCTAGGCCGCTATCAAGGATACATTCAACAAACTAGGAAATAACATGTGCACAAGGCTCTCCATCGTGGCACTAATGGAAACAGCACGAGTGGAGATGACACGCCCACCAGCAAGGGCCGTGCAAACAGGACAGGTGCGCCTGCAGGAGGCACAGCAGACGGCGGAAGCGCTTCACAAGTGTTGCAGAGCCATCTTTGCCACATATTCAGTGAAATAGCCAAGTGGAGGACAATACGTGTGGTCTACCACTTTATTTAAGAAACAAGTGGGGAACTTGTTTATATAGAATATGTGTATGTCTATACATATACCATATATAAATGAAGGAATAAAATATGAGTTAAAATAATTACTTGGGGGTGGTCAGGGATGGAGGGATGGAATCTAGACATCTCTCAATACATTCTATTTTGTGGTTTTATCTTTGGAACCACATAAATGTTTTACATAATTATAACATTAAAAAATTAGATTGCTAAAAATTGAAAGCAAAATTAAGAAAACGAACCTAATGGTGTATCCAGCTGGTGGTTTAACCACATAGAAGGGAATGATACTGAGTGACTTTTTTTTTTTTTTTTTTTTTGAGACAGAGTCTCACTCTGTCACCCAGGCTGGAGTGCAATGGCATGATTTCAGCTCACTGCAACCTCCACCTCCCAGGTTCAAGCGTTTCTCCTGCCTCAGCCCCTCAAGTAGCTGGGACTACAGGCATGCACTACCACGCCTGCCTAATTTTTGTATTTTTAATAGAGACAGGGTTTCACCATGTTGGCCAGGCTGGTCTTGAACTCCTGACCTCAGGTGATCCACCCTCCTTTGCCTCTCAAAATACTGGGATTACAGGCATGAGCCACTGTGCCCAGCCTCTGAGTGACTTTAAATTAATTTGAGTGAACAACCCGAGAACCAAAGAACTTTTGCTAATGACTAAAATAATTGCAAAGAAATCTTTTACTGTTTTTTTGTTTGTTTTTGTCGTTGTTTGTTTGTTTTTTGAGATGGAGTCTCATTCTATCACCCAGGCTGGAGTGTAGTGGCGCAATCTTGGCTCACTGAAACCTCTGCCTCCTGGGTTCAAGCAATTCTCCTGCCTCAGCCTCCTGAGTAGCTGGGATTAGAGGTGCACTGCCATGCCCGGCTAATTTTTGTATTTTTAGTAGAGACGGGGTTTCACCATATTGGCCAGGCTGGTCTTGAAATCTTGACCTCAAGTGATCCACCTGACTTGGCCTCCCAAAGTGCTAGGATTACAGGTATGAGCCACCATGCCTGGCCTACAATTTTTTTTAATTAGCCAGATATGGTGGCCCATGCCTGTATTCCCAGCTACTCACGAGGCTGAGGCAAGGTGGATCACTAGAGCCCTGGAGGTCAAAACTGCAGTGAGGCATGATCGCACCATAACAATTAAAATATCCTTAATCGCTGCTGGATGTGGTGGCGCGTGCCTGAAACTCCAGCTACTCGGGAGGCTGATGCAGGAGGGTCACTTAGGCCCAGGAGTTTGAGGTTGTAATTGTGCCACAGTCACACCCGTGAGTAGCTACCGCACCCAGCCTGGGTAGCACAGAGAGACTCTGACCCTAAAAAGAATATTAAAAAAAGAAAACTATGGTCATCGACATCAGAGGACTGTGGTTCCCAAGAGAAGAGACAGTGAACTGGCCCAGCAACCATCCTGGCGTCCCACTTGGGAGTGCCTTTCAGATGGTGGCACAGGAGGGGAACCTGGGCAGAGCAGGGGTCTTGCTAAGTTAGCTAGGCAGGGGTTAGCACTGGGGAAGGACGGCTCACCTCAAATGTGTGGGGTAAAGTTCTAAAGAAGAGGGAGCTACACAGAAAAATCTCCTAAAAACACAGAAAAAGGTTATCATTGTGCTCCCCTGCCTTGTTTTCACTTCTGATCGTTTCTTATGATTCTCCCTTTATATTTGTTTATGTTTCTGAGCAATCACACATACACACAATTCCCTGCTTTGTTTACACAAAAGGGAGCACACTACACACACGCTCTGCACCGCACCCTGTTCCAATCAACCACATAGCTTGGATATCGCTCCATTTTACATACAAAGCATGTTCTACCTACCCTTGTTAAGTCACCTAACAACTTAATAAGTGAGCAGCTTTGCTTAGCGCTCGCCCCACTCAAGCCACCTCTGGTTAGCAGCACCCCACCAGGAATGAACCACAGGCTAAGCCAGGAGCTACAGACACAATCTTGGACAAGTTTGATTCCTAAATCTTGGTATCGCCTTCAGTAAAATGAGAATTCCAGTACCCTCCTTCCTCACAGGGCGGGATGTCATACATGAATTAGATAAGCATGAAAGCATCTGGCAGAGGTGTAAAAGGAGACTAGCATTCCAAGTCCCCTGCAACTGCCCTCAGTCTCCGCATTAGACGCCTGTCTTCTTCTTGGCAGGAGCCACTATGACCCTGCCATATGCGCTCCACTAGACTGTAAGACCCTTCTTCTTTTTTTTTTTTTTTTTTTTTTTTTTGAGACGGAGTCTCGCTCTGTGGCCCAGGCTGGAGTGCAGTGGCTGGATCTCAGCTCACTGCAAGCTCCGCCTCCCGGGTTTACGCCATTCTCCTGCCTCAGCCTCCCGAGTAGCTGGGACTACAGGCACCCGCCACCTCGCCTGGCTAGTTTTTTGTATTTTTTAGTAGAGACGGGGTTTCACTGGGTTAGCCAGGATGGTCTCGATCTCCTGACTTTGTGATCCACCCATCTCGGCCTCCCAAAGTGCTGGGATTACAGGCTTGAGCCACCGTGCCCGGCCAGTGTAAGACCCTTCTTTGCCAAGAAAACTCACTTGAAAGAAGCTCTCTCCCAGCACTGCTTGCGAGCTATGTGTGAGCACAAGCACACACCCCAGCAGTCCAACCATCCTTGCATTCTGGGTATGACTGTCCCTTAGAGGAACCAAGGTGGAGTGCGCACCCATGCTGCTGACAAGGAGCCTATTGAAAAGGGCCACTCCCTCTCCACTATTACAGGGTCTCCAAACAGCCATCTGCACCCTGCTCTGTGACACATGCTATGGGACAAGAGGACAGCAACAGGGGCAGCATGACAAAGTTTAGAGGGGAATGGAAATAAAAAAGGAATAAAGCAAGAGGTGGGTCAACAGCAAGAAACAAGAGAGAGAAAATCTTCTGACTTTGTGTTTACTTTAGTATGCTTCTAGGCAGGGCACAGTGGCTCATGCCTATAATCCTAGTGCTTTGGGAGGCAAGGCAGGAGGATTGCTTGAGGACAGTAGTTTGAGAACAGCCTGGACAACATAGCATGACCCCTATCTCTACAAAACATGGTGGCGCACACCTGTAGTCCCAGCTCTGCAGAAAGCTGAGGTGGCAGGATTGCTTGTTCCCAGCAGTTCAAGGCTGCAGTGAGCTAAGATTACACCACTGCACTCCAGCCTGGGCGACATAGGAAGACTCTGTCTCAAAAAAAAAAAAAAAAATGCTTTTGAACTCAATCATTACTTGAAAATTATGACCAGCTTTGCTTCTTGCCTAAACACAGGGAAATGACCAAATTGTCAGTATTTTATCTTTTTAAAATGAACACATACCACAGAGTTTTTCTTTGTTGTTGTTTCCATTCTCTATTAATTATTAAGTCCACTTTCTGCATCCAACTTTCTGTATCCAAGTCTCTTAACAAAGTCTACCCGTTAGATGGGAAAGGCTTGCCCACTTACCGTGATCATCAAGGAGAATATTCTCAGGCTTTAAGTCTCTACAAGGAAAGAAACAACAACAGAAGGCTCAATGATTCAGAATCTGGCACTGTGATTCCGGAGTACCCAGTGGGAACAACCAGCATGAGCAAGGGCCAGGATGGCAGAAAGCAAAACCACCCTTCATGAGCCATGGAAACTGTCTTCAGCTGTCACATGGCAGGACAAGAATGTTACAAAATTCATCTCAGCAAACAGCTCACATATGACGACAGTATAAAATGAACTGTTTTACATAATTATACAGATTTGAAGACATTTCAGTGATTAAATATGCAGCCCAGTAGTAAGGAAAGCAACTAGTCCTTAATGAACATGGCTCAATTTCTCTTAACCATTAACATATTTTTAAGAGTTTCAAAAACTGAAAATTCCCCATATTAGAATGCCTCAAGCTGGGTGTGGTGGCATGTACCTGTAGTCCCAGCTACTCAGGGGGCTGAGGTGGGAATGTCACTTGGGCCATCGGTCATTCATTCAACAAATGCCTGGTAATAGCTACTGATGGTGAGTCCTGTGGACACAGCGGTGGATGGGGCAGCCATGGGCAGCCCCCACTGAGTGCAGGTGGGTGAGGCAAGTGGGTACCAGAGGTTAGAGGAGCCAAAGCTTATATGAGAAAATCCAGCTCATCTTAAGACTGAAGCCAAACACAGCAGCTCAGCCGTAGTCACCTGTGAAGTGTGATTTACTCCAGGAGTAACAAAAGAATCCAATCTCCTACGGGTGTGTTCCATGCTCCAATACCACCAGACTCTTACCTCTAAGCAATGGCAACAAGGCTTCCTCAACTCAGGCGACCACCTCTGTGTCTAGAGGACTCACAGCCAGGGCAGCAATCCACCCCTTGCTCAATGCTCAAGGTGCAGAGGTGTCAGCCCCACTGCCAAGCCTGGTCTCTGATCCTTGAGAGATATTTATCCCATATTGGCTGTGGGATATAGAAGATAAGGAGAAGCCAAAGGTCCATCAGAACAGGGAGAAGTGAGATCAAGGACTCCCAAGAAGCTCATTGTCTGGCGTGACCATCTGAGCAGACAACGTGGGCAGCACCTGGAGGATGTGGGAGAGGGGGCACATCCTCACACCCTCGTGCTATGTGGGCTAACTCTGGACGGATGAGCAGGAGTCTCTCAGAATGACAGGAAGAGGGACTGGGTGGAGAGTGGCACCCACACAGGAACATCTTGTGCAAAGGTGCAGTGAGGTGAGGACACCTGAGCAGCTGAAACTCTCGCATGACAAGGGCAGGAGGTGCCCGTGTGGGAGGAGCAGGACCCAAGGCTGGAGGGCTCCGTGGGGAGCTGCATCACAAAGGCCATGAAGGCCAGGCTTGCAAGGTAACAAGGGAGACACCATTAGGTCCCATATCAGGCCCCCTTCCCTTGGATATCAAAATCCAAGGGTCCTCAAGTCCCTGATATAAAATGATGTAGAATTTCCGTATAACCTACACACATCCTCCCAATTACTTTAAATCACCTCTAGATTACACATGCTACTAGACACAATGTAAATGATATGTAAATTGTTATTATACGATATCATTTAGGGAATAGGGACAAGAAAAAAGTCTACATGCTCAATACAGACACAACCATCCTTTTTTTCTGAATATTTTCTCTTTTTTTCCCCTTTTCACCCTGTTGAGTAGGATGTTCTGAATATTTTCGATTCACAGCTGGTTGAATCTACAACATGGACCCCAGTGGGAGACCAACTATAACTGGTAGATGAACCCACAGAAGGGAGGAAATGAAACTGCCCAGGGAGAGTGACTGAGAAGAGACTCAGAGCCCAGGAACTCCAGCATTTAAGGGATAGGAAGGGGTTTTGTGTTTTCCTAAAACTAAATACATTGATTACACTAAACTATTAAGTTTAATTTTCTTTACTAAATTCTAAGATGCAAAAAAAACCACTACTACTTCAAGACATTAAATCGATATGTTATATGGCAGGACATAATACATCCTTATCAGAACTATCAAAATACCTAAGAACCTTGGAAACAGGCTCTTCTTATGTTTACATGAGTAGCACTACCTTTATTTGATCAACCTAACAAGTAAAAAACAAACTTCTGCTTCAAAAAGACAATTTATTAGAAATGTAAGCTGGGCACGGTGGCTCACGCCTGTAATCCCAGCACTTTAGGAGACTGAGGCCCACGGATCACCTGAGGTCAGGAGATCGAGACCAGCCTGGCCAACATGGTGAGACCCCATCTCTAGTAAAAATACAAAAAATTAGCTGGGCATGGTGGTGGGTGCCATAGTCCCAGCTACTCAGGAGTCTGAGGCAGGAGAATCGCTTGAACTGCAGTGAGCCAAGATTGTGCCATTGCACTCCAGCCTAGATGACAGAGTGAGACTCCATCTCAAAAAACAAAACAAAAAAACACCCAGGGCCCACTGACTGGCCATATTCCCAATAGTGTAAGTGACCACCCCTATAAATCACCATCGAGGGGCTCCCAGCTACTCTCCTGCTCAGCCTGGAAGCAGCCAGTGTGAGCCAGGGAAGCCTACAGCTGGGAGAAACTGGCTCCAAGACTTGCAGGCTCCATTAGGTAGCACCGTTCTTACCTGTATACAATTCTTTCCCTCTGTAAATCTTCCAAGCCGCAACACAGCTCTGCAGCATAGAAAACAGCTCTCTGCTCATCAAAGCCGGGATTACCCAGGTTGTAAATGTGAAACTTCAAATCCCCTCCATTCATAATGGTGAGCACCAAGCACAAGGCATCTTTGGTTTCGTAAGCGTAGGCTAAACTAACCTAAAGATAGCAACATCATAAAGACAGAACACGAACTTGCTCTTTCACTGGTGATTTCCTCTATTTGCTAATATGCAAACAATCCATGTTAGGTTTATAATCAGAACATGCGAATACTATTATGTTTCAGAGAAATGTACAGGACACATCATGTGCCTCTTGGACCTTGGCATACTGAAGATTTTACCGCAGCTGTGTCGCCAAAAGAGAGAACTTCCTAAAGCTAAGCAAAGAAGTGGCAAAACTTCACCAAGACACTTGGGCTTATGACTCCTCTGTGTCGTGCGCTCATCACTTGAGCCCTGACAGTCTGTACTTCCCGGGCAACCACGTTCAGCACATAGGCTATGCCCCACCAGCAGCGCAAGGGAGGTCTCACTGCACCACCTCTTTCCCACATTTTGCGTTGTCAACCTTTTTAGTTTGAATCCTGCTGGTGGAGTAGTCTCCTACTGTGGTCTTAAGTTGCATTTCTGTATATATGAAAATATAGGGGACATTTTCATGTAATTAATAGCCATTTGGATCCTCTTTTGTGAAATGCCTAGTCTATTTTCCCCCCATTTTTCTATTGGTTTGTATGTCAATTCACACACACACACACTCACACACACGCACACACACACCCTGCTGAGATTTTGATTGGGGCTGCATTCAATTCATTTAATCTATAGATCAATTAGGGGAAACCAGCATCTTTACAGCATTGGGTCTTCCAATCTGGGAACGTGGTCTCCCCCCATTTATTTAGACCTTCTTAATTTTTTTGAGACAGAGTCTTGCTCTGTTGCTCAGGCTGGAGTGCAGTGGTGCCATCTCGGCTCACTGCAACCTCTGTCTCCCAGGTTTCAAGCAGTTCTCCTGCCTCAGCCTCCTGAGTAGCTGGGATTACAGGCACCTACCACCACGCCTGGCTAATTTTTGCATTTATAGTAGAGATGCGGTTTCACCATATTAGCCAGGCTGATCTCAAACTCCTGACCTCAAGTGATCCACCTGCCTCGGCCTCCCAAAGTGCTGGGATCACAGGCGTGAACCACAGCACCCAGCCTCCTTCTTTAATTTTTTTTTTTTTTTTTTTTTTTTTTTTGAGGCGGAGTCTCGCTCTGTCGCCCAGGCTGGAGTGCAGTGGCGCGCGATCTCGGGCTCACTGCAAGCTCCGCCTCCCGGGTTCCGCCATTTCCTCTCAGCCTCCAGTACTGGGACATAACAAGGTGCCCCGCCACCACGCCCGTCCTACTTTTGTATTTTTAGTAAGAGACCGGGGTTATTGTGTAGCCCACGGATGGTCCTCGATCATCCTGACCTCGTGATCCGCCCCCGTCGGCCTGCCCCAAAGTGCTGGGATTACCAGGCTTGAGCCACCCCGCGCCGCCTCTTTAATATTCTATAATAACATTTTTTACAGTTCCCTGTTGGAAGCTCTTGAACATTTCTAGTCAGTTCTTTGCCTAGATTGTCCTTTTTAGATCAAGGTCTTGCTCACCTGTGCCCACGCTACCGACTCACTCTGAGCTCCAAGTGATCCTCCCACATTTACTCAGCATCACCCAAGAAGCCCCTGGGACTCAACAGTGCACCACACCTCGCCAGCCTTCATTCTTAGATTCCTGATCGCTTTCTTAGATCGCCATCATATACCAACTGGTATCCGTCAAATCTATTCATTCTCCTCTCAATCTGTTAGGGGCTGATTCATTTAATAAATCCTTGGTTAAATCCCTAATAGGGTTATTCTAAAAATCCACAGCGAAGGTCTCCAATACAACCGATCTGGTTTAAAAATATGAGTTTTGCCGGCGCGGTGGTTCCAAGCCTGTAATCCCAGCCAACTTGGGAGGCCGATACGGGTGGATCAACGAGGTCAAGGAGATCGAGACCAATCTGCCTAACCCGGTAAACCCCCGTCCTTAACTAAAAATACAAAAACTAGCCCGGGCCCGCCGTGGCGGGCGCCCTGGTAGTCCAGTTACTCCGCGATGCTGAGCAAGAGAATGCGGAACCCGGCCGATGCCGAGCTTGCATTGGCCGCCTGAGACCGGGCCACCTGCAACTCCAAAGCTGGGCGGGCGGCCAGAGCGAGACACTCAACCCCCCACCGTCCATCAAAAACAAAAAAAAAAAAAAGAAAATAATAGTTTAGGCCACATCCTTCAAACACCTACCTCCACCCCACCCCACACCTTTGAGACCTAGACGTGGGAGGATCAGTTGATCTCAGGAGTTCGAATCCAGCCCTGGGCGATATACTGGAAGAACCCCCCCATCTTATCTAAAAATAAATAAATAACTAAAAATCATTAAAAAAGAAAAAGAACACTGAGGGGTTCCTTTTTCAACCCTTTTTGCTTCTTTTCCTTCCTCTAACTTAAATCCCTTTCACTTCCTCTTCCTTTACCTACCTGCCAGACTGGCCAGCAATTACCCAATATCAATGTTTGAACTTGAAATGGTCAAGCAGGTACCTACGCCTTATCTCCCCAACCTCAATGGGGACCACTTTGTAATGTTCTTATATTAAGCTTACTCGATCTCTTGTCTGAAATATTATCCTGTTTGCATTTTTTTTTTCTTTTTTCGCGACCGAGTCCTGCTTCTGCAGTCCAGAGCCTGCGCTGACAGTGGCCAGAATCTCCAGACATCACTCAAACGCCCGCCCACGGGTTCACGCCATTCTCCGAACTCAAGCTCCCGAGTAGCTGGGACTACAGGCGCCCGCCACCTCGCCAGCTATTTTTTGTATTTCTCTTAATAGAAGACAGGGTTTCACCGTGGTTAGCCCAGCGGATGGTCTCCCCCCCCCCCCCCGAAAAATTTTTTTTTTTCCTTTTCCTGAACCTCGTGATCCGCCCGTCTCGGCCTTCCCAAGTGCCGGATGTACAGCTTGAGCCACCGCGCCCGGCCTTGTTTGTTTGTTTGTTTGTTTGTTTGTTTTGAGAGAGATTTTCTGAAGGAAGTTCCTTTCTGTACCTGGTTTGCTTCGGGTTTTTAAGCATGCCTGGGCATTAGCTCCTATCCAAAGCTCTTCCTGCAACCACTGAGATGACCATACGGTTCTTCCCTTGATTCTGGTAATATGATAAATTACATTATTCGATTTTCATTCCTGGAATAAATCCAACTTGGTCACAATGTGTTAAAAAAGTAAGAGAGGTGGAGGAGAGGAGGCCCCAGCTGGCATGCAATAGAACACAGATTAAACCACAAGGAATTATCAGTGGTCCTTGAATTAGTAAGGATCCCTTACTTCCTCTCCTCTTGTGAATATTCATTCAACATCTGCTCAATATATATTAAAATAATATTGAGAATCTTTTACCACACCAGCCTTGTTGTAGGCAGCGGGAATGCAGTGGTGAGCACGGCCCTGAGGAGCTCTGTCCTAATATCGTGGTGGAGGAGGCCTGGGCAGTCACAGATGACAGATGAACCAATGCAAAGAAAAAAAAGAAAATAATGAGTTTTGGCCAGGCACGGTGGTTCACACCTATAATCCCCACACTTTGGGAGGCCTAGGTGGGAGGATCAGTTGATCCTAGGAGTTCCAGACCAGCCTGGGCAATATAGTGAGACCCCCATCTCTATCTAAAAATAAATAAATAAATAAAAATTTAAAAAAAGAAAAAGAAAATGATGAGGGTTTTTTTTCAACCTTTTTTCTTCTTTTCTCTAACCTTAATCCCTTTCACTTTTTCCTTTACCTTACTGCACTGGCCAGAATTTCCAATATCATGTTGAATTGAAATGGTCAGCAGGTATCTAGCCTTATTCCAGATCTCATGGGGAAAAGCTTGTAATATTTTCATATTAAGTATGATTGTGGCCTCTTTAATTTCTTATAATAACATTTTACAGTTCTCACTGTAGAAGTCTTGAACATTTTTGTCAGTTCTTTGCCTAGAATTGTTTTTTAAGATCAAGGTCTTGCTATGTTGCCCAGGCTAGACTCAAACTCCTGAGCTCAAGTGATCCTCCCATTTCAGTCACCCAAGAAGCTGGGACTACAGGTGCACACCACTCGCCAGGCCTTTTCTTAGATTCTGATGTTTCTTGATGCCATT